AAAAAAAAAATGTTTTGTTTTTTCTGCGTTTTAAGTCCTTTCCATTTGTTTCTCTCCCTCCTTCTTTCTCTATCTCTTTCTCTCTTTACTTTCCATATGTCAAATTTAGAATGGTATTTCAATCTAATGCGTTTAACATTCTCTCTACGCTAGAATTCAAGAAATGTTTTATTTGTTTCTATTTATCTTTATAATTTTCAAAATTTCCAAAATGAGTCATTCTTCTTTTTTTTTCTCATCCTTTCTCAGTTCTTTTCATGAAAATGTCTTGAACAATTGGTATTGTGTATGACAATTTATTGCTTCATTGCATGTCAAAAGATAGCAAAATAATTGGGAAGTGCAATTGAAATGGATGCTAATTTTTTTTTGTAATTATTGAAAAAAATAAATTTCGTAAAGAATTTTTTTTTTTACTTTGATTTTTTCGTATTCTTTTTTTTCAATTCATTTCTTTAAAATTATTTAAATTTAGGATAGCAATGATTTTTGCTATTAATTGGTGTACAAAAAAAAAGATAATTTTTGAAAATTCAAAATTTTGAGTTTAAGCGTAATTTCATTTGCAGCAGTAATAGATCAGTGTTAATGAAGCATGAGAGGAGCCAAGCCAAAAATAGAATACAGAGCAGAGTTACGTTAAGATAGATTAGGAACAGTACGGTAAGATAAGGTTGGAAACAATAGAGTTGTAAGAGAAGCTTGCAGGGTAGAGTTACTGTAATACAAAATTGCAAGACGGAGTTGAAAGATCAGGGAGATAAAATGGAGTTTTTTTTTTTTTGGATGTAGTTTAAATTGAATTGTGAAACGGGATTTCAAGGCAGCGAGATTACCAGAAGACAGGATTACTATAATACAAGGTTGCAAGAACGGATTGCAAGGCGAGATTGCAAGAGCAGGTTACTGCAATATGGAGTTGTAAGATGAGATTATAAAATGAGGGCCACAATATGGGATCGCAAGACTGAATTATGAGACAGAATTTCAAGGCTGGGTTACCACGACACGGGGTTGGAAGATGGAGTTACTGTAATGAAAAACTGCAAGATCGGATTACGAGAAGGAATCATTACAAGAGGCGATTATAAGACAGATTTATATGGTTGAAAGTGTCGGGCAGAAAGAGAGATGTTAAGTATTTTTGCGGCTGATAAATTTTTTTTTTTTGCCAAATTAGCAATTATTGGTAATACTTTTTGCAAATTTCTCTAATTTAAATCAAATAAAAATAAAATATTATTTGGCATGCGTTAAATTTTTCATCCTAATTTTTACAAGCAATTCTTTTGTCGTTTTCCTACTAACAAAGTGGAAAATAATTGCGTTATTAGTTCGTACCAACTAAAATTATCGTTTTAGTGTTTATTTAAATTTGAAATTAATTAAAAAGTTTTTTAATATTATTAAAATATAATCGTCATCTATGATAATAAATTGACATTTTGATTAGCTGATTATTTAAATTTATTTCTTTGATTCTCTTTACAACGTTTATTTTTTGTCGAACAATTTTCTTCGTTTATTGGAATAATCGTATTTAATCAAGAATACTTTGCGAAACAATAATACAATAATTTGACGATATGTATGACGAAAATTTGACCTTCCCTATAATTTCAATTAATTTTTATTTTATAATTTTGACTCACAATAAATTAACAATAACAATTAGTATTACTCGTCAACAGAATTTACATAAAGTTTACATATTTTTTGTCATACTCAGCGTAATTATATCAATTTAAGGATAAATTCTCACAAAATGTAACACTTTTGAAATTAATTTTGGTACATTTGTTCCTTTAAATTCCTAAAATAATATTTCAACATGAAATGTTTACATTAAATTAAAATAAAAACTTTT